CCTGCCACAACGCCCGGCTTTTTGGTTGCAGCCGTCATTGTTGTTTGGCGGGTCCGGGCTGGGGATTCGAACCCCCCACCTTAGGTGTACGTGGCTGGCGCCTTAGCCGGTTGAGCTATAGGCGCCGAGCCCCCTTGTCTTGTTTTTAAAGTGCGCTCCTTTGAGATAATCTCATCCCCCAGGATATTTGATTCACCATTTCCATCTCCACTACTACTGGGATCTTTAAATATTCCCTCTCTTGCACGGGGCAGTGGTTCACGCCTTAAGTCCTAGCACTGTGGGAGGCCAAGGTAAGAGGATCCTTTAACGCCAGGAATTCAAGACCAGCCTGAGTAGGAGTGACCCTATCTCTACTAAAAACAGAAGAACTAACCCGGAGTGGTGGGTCAGACCTGTAGTTCCAGCTACTTGGGAGGCTGAAGCAAGATGATTGCTTGCGCCCTGGAGTTTGAGGTTGCTGTGAGCTAGGCTGATGACACTGCACTCCACCCACGGCGACAGAGTGAGACTCTTGTCTCAAAAGAAACAAAAAATCCCTCTCCAACTTTTTTCTTTCTTTTTGCCCCTGGACTCGGCAGCCAAACACGTGCGACCTGTGTGTACAGTACTCACCCAGCCTCCCTCCTCAGCCCTGCCTACAACAGTAAGCTGGGTCGCTTCTTTTCCCGGAGCCCCGCCCCTCGGCCTCTTTCCAACTCAGCCCCTACAGATCTCGCCCTTCCCCCCCCCGCGAGTTCTCGCGAGAGGTGAACGCGCCTGGCCGGACGGGAGGAAAGTATCTGCTTCGTTGAGGGGGGAAAGAAGGAGCTGGAGACAGATTGTGGGACCGAGCGCGGGCGGGCGGGAGGTGACGGAGCTACTAGCGGGTGAGTCCTGTAAAATAAGCTAGTTCATGATACGGCGGGAGTCTCCCCTTCAACTTTAGCTAATCCCAACCTCCCGGACTGGGGTCTCCCCTCCCAATCTGTGTTGGACGGGGGCGCTGAGGCGGTGGCCGGGCTCTCACTGAGGAAGAGGGTGGAGCATAGACTAAAGCCGACCAATAAGAGAGAAGGAAGCCTCGATTGGCGGCTATGAGCGCTAATAAGAGATCGCTTTTTACCTCGCGGAGTGCCGCCCCTCTTCTCTCCTTCCTCCCGCCTCCTTCCTTTGGGGGGGAAGGCGGGGCCAGAGGCCTGAAGTGTGGGGAGAACTTGGGGTAAGTAGCCCTGGGGGGCACAGGGCGTGGCAAGGAGAGGAGAATTGAATCCTGAGGGAAGGGTGCGCTAGTGGAGCCTTAAGGAAGGGTCATGGAGTGGGGAGAATGATAGAAAGAGGAGGGGTACTAAACTAGGTTGTAGACCCAGGGCTTGGCATTGGAAAAGGCAGGGGTAATTGGCAGGAGGTAGGGATGAGTAGGTGAGAACAAGAATCTTGATCAGGTAACCCAATGTGCATTGGGTTTGGCTGTAAAGATAGGTAGAGGTAGATCGTTGGAAATGAGGGCCATGGCATTTCGATTGAATTAATGAAAAGAATATCAGAGACATGATATCAGAGAGAAAATATGAATTCGGAGAAAATTAAGTGAATGAGTTTAGGAAGACAATATAGATGGGCTGAGTTACTAGAAGGCATGGCTTTGGGGTGTGAGAGTTGAGAGGGCAAGTGTTTGGAAGGCAGGTGATTGATAGATATAAGTCTTTAGCCTAGGTGTCAAAAGGAGGCTGAGACAGTGAGGGCTTCTCTGGGCTTGGCACCCAGACTGGTGACCAGCCTGCAAAAATGCTGGGTTGGGGATAGAAAAATATAACGTTTTCATCACGTCTCTGATTTTCTTTCTCCCTCCCTTTCCTTTTCCAATCCTTTTCTCTTCCAAAACACAAGGATATGGGCTTGAGACTTAAGCAGTCCAAGTTGGAGCCCCATAGGGACTTATATGTTGATCTGAATTGCTTGTTATGTTCTCTGACTGGGGTGTTTACTACCCAGGGCACCTCCTACCCACATTCCCGTGTTGCTACTTTCCTAACTTTAAAAGTTTGTTTTCAGCTTAACACAGAGTATTTTAGTATCTCTGAGAGTCGTGTCATACTAAGTGCAGAATTTTCTTAGCAAACTCACAATTCCTATCTTTAAAAATTCTGCGGTAGTGTAATTCTTGTATACATCAGTCTTCATAGGACTTTTAAGCACAAATATAGTAAAATGAAGTTCGTTTTGTTAAATCTGTCTTCCCTACTCATTCTTTTTTTTTCTGATTTTTATCATAATTGTTAAATGGATGGTTGCAATTGGTTTTAGTTAGCTTATACATAGTATTTTATGTGTTTTAAATGGTATAAGTAAAATGGACACATTTCAGGAAAGTGAAAATTTTTCAGTTTTTTCCTTTGTATCCCGACTAAGAAACTAAAGATATGTCATAATATCTTAGGCCAAAGGTTGGGGAAATCAAATACAATTTGTACTTAAGCATGGAGGATGTAAGGTAAGTGGAGGCTATTGCGAAATTTTAACATGTCAGTAAGAAAAGAAGCTAAAGAAAAGTTTGGCAGTGCTTCTGGTCTTAACCAGTTCTTAATTTTGTACAGAAAAGGGAGAGGCATTTGCCGTTCATTTAATAGTTGTGTATCATTTGATAACGAATTGGACTAATATAGCCAATTAATAACTGCTTTGCTGTAGCATGGATTTTTCTTTTACATTCCTTCTCTTCTTTTACTTTTGAGAAGTGAAATAATGTCTAAAACACCAGTAAAGCTATTATATGAAGAGAAACCAGAGCATGTAGTTTAGTATTAAACTTTGATTTTCATCAGCCAGTTGAAGCTTTTAGGAAGCTGCCCTTCCAGGACATTGACACCGGTTAATTACTGACCCTTTAGCATTAACTACTGAGCTGAGCTCCAGTACTTCATATAAGAGCATTGCTACTGGATATTCAGAACATTTTCACAGTTTGCCTGGTAGCAACACACATATATACCCAAATATCCAATGAGAGAGAGAGCAATATCCCTTGTTTTGGTCTTCTGTCTTAGAATTTGTGATCGCTTTGAGTTGGACAGTATTAAATGCAAGATTTTTTTTCACACTAGTGTTATCAACAGAAAATTAGAGAGTGATAACACTATTCATCTTTCAGCTTGTGGATCAAAGTGGTAGTTTTGCTGTTGTAATTTTTCTTTTTTGAGACAGAGCCTCAAGCTATTCCCCTGGATAGAATGCTGTGGCATCACAGTTCACAGCAACCTCCAACTCCTGGGTTCAAGCGAGTCTCCTGCCTCTGCCTCCCAAGTAGCTGGGACCA